CCAGCCCCTCACTGGGGGATTCTAGGCAGGGGCTCTACCACTGAGCCATGCCATCCCATCACTGTCTGTGATGGAAGCCTGTTGAATCAATGGACCCTGAAGAGAAATAGCTGGCAGTGTGTAGCATGGGAGGAAATCTCAGGAAGGGCTGGAGGAAGGTGTTCCCTGTAGAATAAGACTAGAGAAGAGCGGTGGCATGGCTCAGGTATGAAATAGCACTCAGGAAGCTATGGCAGGAGGATCACAAGCTTGAGGCAATCCTGGAATATATAAGGACCTGTTTTATAAACTGTCTTAGTCAGGGTTTCTGCTGCTGCAGAGACACCATGACCACGACAACTCTTATAAAGGAAGACATTTCACTGGGGCTGGCTTACAGCTTCAGAGGTTTAGTCCATGATTGTCATGGCAGGAGGCATGGTGACGCACAGGCAGACATGGCGCTGGAGAAGGAGCTGAGAGTTCTACATCTTGATCCACAGGCAGCAGAAGCAGCTCTGTGCTACACTGGGCCTAGCTTGAGCATAGGAGACCTCAAAGCTCATCTCCAGGTGACACACTTCTTCCTATAAGGCCACACCTGCTCCAACAAAGCCACGCCTCCTAATAGTGCCACTCTCTATGGGGGCCATTTTCTTCCCAACCCCCACATACGCCGAACAAATAAAAGAGAGAGTAGGTTATGGGTGGGATACATGACAGAGAGAAGCTGGGGTAGCCAGGTTAGAGGGAATTTGGAAACCAAACAGAGTCTGAGGGGTGTGTTCGGTGTCCTGGAGGCTGTAGGGAGCTAGGGAGTGTTTTAGACCCATAGCAGCAGAAATGATAATCTGCTGAGTATGAGGCTGGATGGAGTCAGGGAGATCCATGCAAGGAATGACTCGGACTAGTGGGTGCGTGGGAAAGGATAGAGAGGAGGGGACGGTGGATGAACTGTCTTGGATACTGTTGAATTGGCATGGTTGGTCCTCAGCCTGTCGGACTTGGGCCGCTGAGGGCTGGTAAGGAAATTTTGCAAGTTCTGGAATATTATCAGGGAGAGAATTCGGGAATCATCAGGGGGCAGTCAGGGGGCAGGCGATCAGGGAGAAAGCTCCTGGGGCTGGCGGAGGAGGTGGGTGATGTGCAGGGGAGCGGGCTAGAAGGATGGAGCTGGGCCTTCAGGGAAGATGCTGAGTTTCCAGACTGAAGATGGGGTGGGAGGTGTGGGCTTGTGTGGCACCTGCAGAATCTGGAGCAGGAGGAGAATGTTCATTTCTTAGAGTGACAAAGAGAAGAGGAAACTGGGGGGAGCAGAACAGAGCCAGGGGCTGAAGCAAGGCAGGAGGATCAAGAGGTTAAAGACAGTCTGGAGAGATGGCTCAGAGGTTAAGAGCACTGGCTACTCTTCCAGAGGTCCTGAGTTCAATTCCCAGCACCCACATGGCAGTTCACAGCCATTTATGATGGGATCTGGTGTGCAGATGTACACGAAGACAACACATACATAACCAAATAGATCTTTTTGTTTTTCTTTTCAGGATTTATTTTTGTGTATAATGGTGTTTTGCCTGCATGTATGTCTATGTGAGGACACCATATCTCCTGGGACTGGAGTTACAGACAGTTGTGGTTGCTGGGGATTGAACCCTGGTTCCTCTAGAAGAACAATCAATGCTCTTAACCACTGAGCCATCTCCCCAAACCCAATAAATCTCTTTTTTAAAAAGAGTTTGAGAGGCTGGGCGGTGGTGTCACATTCCTTTAATCCCAGCACTTGGGAGGCAGAGGCAGATGGATTTCTGTGAGTTCAAGGCCAGCCTGGTCTACAGAGCGAGTTCCAGGACAGCTAGAGTTACACAGAGAAACCCTGTCTCGAAAAAACAAAACAAAACAACAACAACAACAACAAAAAAAAAAGAGTTTGTTGACAGCTTAGGTGACATAGTGGTTCCAGGCTAGCCCAAACTATAATAAATTGCAAGAATCTGTGTCAAAATAAAAATAATTTACACCCTGATAATGTATCTCCTCACTACACTTGCTCAGAACCATCCATTGAGGATGGGTTGTGGCTCAGCAATAGGGTGCCTAGAATCTCCCAGTGAGAGGTTGGGGTGTGATTCCCTAGCAGAGCTTGTGCAGAGAGAAGAGAAGTGGAGGTGGAGGGTGGGGTGGGGAGAGGTGGCTCAGTGGGTAGTGTGCTTGTCTAGAACACTGGAAGCCGAAGCCGTGTGTTCCCTCGCCAGCCCTACATCGAATTGGCAGGGTGGTGAACCTGGGAGGTGGAGGCAGAAGGATCAAGAAATCAAGGTCATCCTCAGCGGCCTGATGAGTTTGAGACCAGCAAAGGACCAACGTCAGGGGGTTGGGGATTTAGCTCAGTGGTAGAGCGCAAGCGCAAGCGTAAGGCCCTGGGTTCGGTCCTCAGCTCCAGAAAAAAAAAAGGGTCAGGCAGGATTATAGATTTTGTCACTCAACTTCCAGTCTCCCAGGGTGGAGGATGCGAGGTCTGGGTGCCTCTGACCTGGCCCTCTCCCCTCAGATGTGCAGCGGAGGAAGAGCCCAGTGTGTGGCTTCGTGACCCCTCTGCAGGGGTCGGAAGCAGATGAGCACCGGAAACCCGAGGTAGCCGGAGACAGATGGGCTGCCCACCCATCTGCTTGTCCACCCAGCGGTTCCCTCCCGCGGTGGGGGAGTGGGTGTGAGGCGGGATGTGGGGAGACCGTAGAGATGTAGGGTGTCACCCATCGCGCTCAGCCCTGGTCCCTGCCCTCCCCCAGGCTGTCGTCCTGGAGGGGAATTACTGGAAGCGGCGCATCGAGGTGGTGATGCGCGAATACCACAAGTGGCGGATCTACTACAAGAAGCGGGTCAGTGGGACCGGCAGAGCCCTGGAGGGGACCCCGCGGCCCCACCCTCACCCATACCCTCGAACCACCCCATAAAGTCCCAGCATGGTAGCCACAGGGTCTCCCCAGGGCCAGCTTCTCTCCTTGGGTGGTGGGAAGGGGCAGGGCCCCGAGAACTATGAACTCCAGTGGTTGTGGGTGGAGGGGGAGTGGCCCGGTGGTCACTGTGTCCGGGGATTCAGTGTCCAAACTTTGTGTTCCCGTAGCTCCGTAAGTCCAGCAGGGAAGGGGATCTCCTGGCTCCCAAGCAGGTGAGTGTTCAGTAAATCTAGCAACGGAAGGCTTGAGCAAGGAAGGGCATCTGGGCTGATGGAAACTGGAGAATCGAAAATGTCTGCCTGGCTGACCAGGACGGGATATGGGTGTGGTAACTGGGTGTGAGAGGAATGGGCGTGGCCTCGATGACGGTGTGGGTGATTACTGAAACTTTCTCTTCCTGGGAAGATCAGTTGTGAGGCAGGAGGATTGTAGCGAGTTCCAGGCCAGCCTGAGTTAAGTTACGAGTCCAATGCCAGTGTGGGCTGCAGAGTGAACAACCTGTGTCTTAAAAAAAGCAAACAAGCCGGGCGGTGGTGGCGCACGCCTTTAATCCCAGCACTCGGGAGGCAGAGCCAGGTGGATCTCTGTGAGTTCGAGGCCAGCCTGGGCTAC